GGAATCGACTTCCAGCAGCAGTATTTCCGAACCGATACGACAACATAACCTTCAAGAAAAGAGCATATTCCTTTTTAAAAGGCTGGCAGCACACCTGCAATGCCGTTGGTGTTGTGGGTGATCATGGGAGGCGGTAGTCACTTACCATCAGGTGAGCCGCATGCTCGTATGCCCCGTGTTGTAAAAAAGATTTTTCCAAATCGGTGTAGAACTAACTGAGTTATATGGTAGCAGATATAAAAAATTACGACCGAATTGAGAAGCTTCCTCTTAAAGAAATACTCTTAAAAGATTGATAAAAAAATACTTTATCTAGGGGAAGGTAGCCGTTTGCACTTTCATTACACTTCCTTGTAGTTTAATTAAAATCAGAGTCCTTTTGTTAGAAATGCGTAAAAAGACAACGTAACTTCCCTTTTATTGGGTTTTATTGAAATTCAATTTGGGGATTTCTAGGCTACAATCAAGCATTCCAGTGTTTAGATCAATCGCATCTAGATAGGGTCTCCCTAAAAACACTACGACAAAACGGCATAACTTTTTCAAACACTTCCCTTTTAATGTATTCAATATTTTTTTTAGTATTTTAAAGTTAATTATAATACTTTTTTATACTACTATGTTGGAAAACAAGCATATGACCCGTCTGATGGTAAACAGAGTTATCGTAACCTATGAACATCTGTAACACCAGAGATGTAATGCACGCGTTGCCGACCCTTAAAAACCCTCAATGTAACTTTTTTAAAGAATCCCATACTGTAGGATCTAGGGAAAGCCTCGGCAGGAAGATCAATCCATAACCTGATTGTTCGTGGGAGGAAGCTCCTTTGAAACCGCACTGTGCATGACCATTCTGGTTCTAAAGTGTGAGGATGGATTCCCTGTTGACGGCGAGCGGTACAATGGTGAAAGTTTTTTTTTAATACAACTTAGAATGGCAAACAAGCTGACGGCCCACCTGATGGAAAGTGGTAACTGTCGCCTATAGATATGAGCAGTACCGTGGACATAACAGAGTATACTGTTTCGTCCATGATACCCCCCATGCGTTGCTATTCCTGAGGACTCGGGTGTTATTCATCTGTACCCTGTAAATTCACGCCATATCCCACCCTTCAAACCGAAACACAGCCATGCAAACAACTGCTTCACGGTAGAAACACGAATGGAACAGAGGTACCCAAGCAATCGACTTTTGTACAAAGTCTCCCTCTGGTAAAAGGTGACTGTAAGCCTCATATTGAAGAGTTCTTCAGAACAATCTGTTTTACGGACAGTAGAAGATGTAAAGAAAGGCAAATTAAATTAAATTTCGCTTTAAATTAAGGGGAACGATAGCGCTTTTTAACCTGTTACCTTGTTAATTTTTGAAATGGTGACTTTTATTACACGAACTGTCATTTTATTTTTATATACAATTGTGTGGAGGAAAAAATATAAAAGTGGACAGAAACTGTAACAGATTGGTACCCTTGAATAGGTCAATGAAGACAGGGAAGACCATTGACACAATGAGTTACAGATATATAAAAGTAGTAGCGGGTGTACTTTGGACAAGGATAGCCAAAGATAAAATAGAATGGAAGACTCTGGAGGAGGCCTTTGTTTTCGGACAAGAAAGTGAGAAAATTACTGATTAAATATTAATTCTATTGTATTGTTTATTACGTTATTTAATTATATTATTACTAGTTGACTCAACAAATATTGTTTTGCTGTCTACCACCATCTAACGGGTCCATTTTTTCTTATGGATATCATATCTCTCAAGTTGAAGCAATTAGGACATATTTACAAAATTTTATTAAAATCCCTTGAATAGTTTTTAGTTTTATTTATTTATTTTTTATGCAACTTAGAATGGCAAACAAGCCGAAGGTCCACCTAATGGAAAGAGGTAACCGTACTGACATAAGAAAGTGTTTCACCCATGATACCCCCCTTGCGTTGTCATTCCTGAGGAATCAGGTGTTATTCCTCTGTACCCTGTAAATTCACTGCCGTATTCCACCCTTTAAGCCGAAATACAGCAATGCAAACACAATTGCTTTGCGGTAGAAACACGAATAGGTCAGAGGTGGCCAAGCAACTTTTGTACAAAGTCTCTCTCTGGTAGTTTTAGAGATTGATGTGAACAAACGATTTTTACATATTAAGTAATCAAGCGTATGCTGTTAGAACAAAATTATAATGATAAACAACCAAACAGGCTTGACTCAAACTGAAATATACGTAACTGACTTTTTTTTTAATGGGTGAGAATGGTATGGTAACCCCACCTGCGCTAACGGGATACGCTGGCGGAGCACCAGTGAAGGGTGATAGATAAGAATGAAAACAGGCCAGTTAGCCCATCATGATGAATTCATTAGGAATTAACCATGATAGTTTCCTGGGAGAAGCGCGAGGAGGTCGACCTGGTTGGGTATATTGCTAGCAATGGGATTCTCAGTCTCCATTACTAACAATCCCTTTTCCCAATACGTAACTGACTGCTTTTAAAACCTTTTAAAGATTGCAAACTAATTAATTCAGCTCACCCTGGTTTACGCGCATCGTATTTTCTGGTTTATGTTGACTTCCGGTGATTAAGTTACGGATCATTGGGGCGTATTCGCTTAGTGACAAGGGTGACAAATTAATGGGGTGAACCATCAGGCTGGCTCTAAAAATAGGTTAGTAAAACCACGGGACAAATTGGACTCGATTTTTGGGTTGCCAATTTCCTGAATGTATTTATAATTTTAATTAAAAAAATTAGATAATGTAATGATTTTGTTGGTACGGTTTTGCGAGAGTCTATTTGACTTTAATTTTTTTAAATTTGTCTTTTTAAGCAGACTACGACCATAAATCATTCTGCCTTGTATTTAGTAAAATTTCTCTTCGAATAGTTTGTAGAAATGTTCCTTGAAAACAATGCCGTTAGAAAATCTATTTGCCTGTAATATTAAACTGAAATGTACCTTCATACACTCTATAAGCCACGTTTGCTGTGTGGTCTCGGTACAGAATGGACTATCTCTTTGTTTCCATTGGTGTTGTAAGAGGCGACTAAGACGACTAAGAGGACTAATGGTTGAGGGATCAGTAGCAGCATCTCTTTTAAAATATCACCAAAGGTTAATTGCGGTTGCCAACCCGCCTACAAAACTTGGCAACTAGTAACAACTCCCCCCTCCTCCTTTATGCTTATATCTAGGTTCTATATTTAGAAAAGGCCTAGTTCAGCAATGAACAGTTAACGGTCGATATGACGATGACATCCCCACAAGAGATCAAATTTTCAACACTCAGTATTTCAAGCACGTTTTTTATATTCGACGCTACATCTAAATGTATATGATCTATGAGACAAAGAGACCAGCCAACACTTCGCGTTCACTCTCATTTCAAACTCGCCAATATTATCACACAATGAAACTAAGACGACTGCCCTTAAACCCAGTGCTCTCTGTGAAACGAGACAATAACGTTAAAAACATGAAAGCCCTCACATAAGCGGCAGTTAAAGACCGCAGCGTCGTGTTAACTTGTCGCTCGTGACTTGCAAGACTTGCAAGTTATAAAGTTGCAAGTTGCAAGTAGACAACGTTGTCGCGGCAATCGTTAAACGGCTATGTACGTGACCTGCAATCTAGTTTAGGTCAGTTTACACAAGAAGCTTGTGTTGCGCTCGCCTCGTTGTTGTGGTTATTTGAAGGTACTCTAGTGGTTTGCACTTAGTAATCTATTATTGAATTTGACGGTAAAATGTATTTAGAAACTTATAAAGTTAAGTTTAGAAACTTATAAAGCTAGTATCAAATTTTAAGACTGGGTCTTAAAACTAAGTCTCTCACAGTCTTTACCAGAGGGAGACTGTAGAAAAATCGATTGCTTGGGTACCTCTTTCTCATTCGTGTTTCAACCGTGAAGCAGTTGTGTTTGCATGGCTGTGTTTCGGTTTGAAGGGTGGGATATGGCGTGAATTTACTGGGTACAGAGGAATAACACCCCGAGTTCTCAGGAACGGCAATGTATGGGGGGTAACATGGTATAAAAAAAATACACAAAAAGCGAGAAAAAATAAATACATATACAAAAATAGATACATAAAAGAGGAAACATATTTTTCCCCTTCGTGCGTGTGTCATATTAACACAAAATGGTCACAACTCAGTTTATTGCTTCGCCCCCAAAAGAGCAAAGCACTGATATTCTGTTGTGGCCAAAGGGAATAGGGTAACGATAAAATAATATCAGTAATTTATACATTTTTTTTATTATTATACAACTTAGAATGGTAAGCTTAGTGGCGATCAATCTAATGGGAGGTGGTATTTTTTTTATGGGTGAAAATTGAATGGTAACCCCGCCTGCGCTAACGGGATACACTGGCGGAGCACCAGTGAAGGGTGATAGATGAGAATGAAAACAGGCCAGTTAGCCCATCCTGACGAATTTAATTAGAATAAGCCACGATGGTTTCCAGGGGGAACCGCGTGAAGGTCGACCTGACATAGTTCAGTTCCACCTACACAGACTTATCAGTTCCATTACTAGCAATATACCCATATTGCTAGCAACGGAACTGATAGCTCGCATTACTGACAATCCTTTCCCCCCGGAGGTGGTATGTTGTACCAACATTTTGTGGCTTGATATTGGAAGGTACTATCAAGTAATTGGAATATCCATGGTACTGTTCATGTCTATAGGTTACGGTTACCACTATTCATCAGCTGTACTGCTCAGTTTGCTCCCACTTATCAGGCTATTTCTCTGCTCAATTCTCGGATTGTTCAGCAGCCAGATATTGATATATTTAATGACAAAATAGATATATTTTTACAATGTTGTACAAAATTTGTAAGTTTGTAAAATAAAGCTATGGCTCACTACACGTTTTGGGAGACTAAGTGTGGTGAGTAATTAATAAATAAATAAATAAATCTGATGGGCAATCAAATTGTTTGCCATTTTAAATATCACAGAGCAAAAAATCATGTACTCACCTTCAACACTAGGACGCTCGCAAACGAAGTAGTTGTGCTCCCTGCAGCCTCTATCGTTCCACATGAAAGTTGGCTCGGCGGGGGGCGGCCTAGGAGGGAACTCTCGGCGGGCCTCCACGCAGTCCTGTCCAGAGGTGCCGTCATCGTTCGGTTGGCTACTGTGTTTTTGCCATCCAGGAAACCAGTCTGTGGACAATGTAATTGTTACGTTAGTTCAAGAGTACTATATTCTTTCAGACAGAAATTTAAAGAAAATTTTTAATTTAGTAAAACATCCGTTATTTAGCAGTTAAACATTTTCCATAATACAATAGATAGATACTTTTTATTGTTTCCTTCACAAGATTACGAGAGAGATCCCGGTATGGAATAGGCTATCCCTTCCTTTCCCATGGGTGTCGTGAGAGGCGACAAAGGGAAGGCGAGGGGCGGGCAGCAGCGTCTCTCTTAAAACATCTCTAGTGCTTAACAGTGATTGCCAATTCGTTTACCGAGTGTGGCAATTACTAGCAAAACCCCCAAGGGGGAGGGTTATGTTCAGCTGTGGACAGTTAAAGGCTGATGTTATGGCAACCATATCTGTATTTATAAATTAAAATCGATTTTTTATGGGTATGTACGCTGGCAGAGTACCAGTGAGTGATGATATAGGTGACGATAAAAGCAGGTTGGTTGGCCCATTGTGACGATTTTAATGAGAATTAACCATGATGGTTACCAGAGGGAACCGCGTGGAGGTCGGCCAGATAGAGTTGATTACTAACAACGGCGATTTTAAACCCTTTTGACCAATAAAAATCAAATTCCTACAATGCTTTTACGGAGCCTCACAAACCACATTTCGAGCAATTAAATTATTATTTATTATTATAATGAAGCACACTATTGAAATGAATGGAGATATCCAACTGGTATAGCGATTTCCCGTGTGGTCCCGGCATAGAATAGGCCACCCCCATGCTTTCCCGTGGGTGTCGTAAGAGGTGACTAAGGAAGGTCGTGGGATAGGCAGCAGCGTCCCTTTTAAAACATTTCCAAAGTCTAGCTGCGGTTGCTGATCCGCCTGCTAAGTGTGGCAACTACTGGTAAAACCGTTCTTGGGGAGGCTTATGTTCAGCAGTGGACAGTTTAAGGCTGATATCATGATGATGATGATAGGGGATATCGAAATGGCTGATGACTTTTTTATCGCCATGAATTTTCAGAGGAAACAAAATATATAGATGTCAAAGCGGTACAGATATCACTCATGCCTACTAGGCTACCATGTATTATGAGGAATCAATCAATAGATATGTGGAGGAACAGTCCAGAACATTTAGATTCGAGTCAATACAGATGTACTTTTTCTAAATTCTAAACACTCAGATTATGGAATTAGCTCTCTGTCGAGGTTTTCCCAAGAGACTACAGCATGGGGTTCTTCAAAAAGGGGGTAAAGAGGTTTTTATGAGGGTCGGTAACGCGCGTATCAAATAACAAATTAAATAACTTTAGAGTAACAGATTTATATAGTAATTTAATTACGTAATTGTAACTTTACATGGTATATGTATATAATATAGCAATATAAAGGTTGTAAGCTACTTAGTGATAAATAGAAATGAAGCACAAGTACTTACAGTTAATTTAATTTAGATATCATTTTATTAACTAATATATTTACTTATTTTGCTTTGTGTTTAATATATAACAAATAATATAACATAAATACCCAACTTCTGTTAATCCATTCACACTTATTTAAATATAGCTTCTTTAGGACTTCCATCAACAATAATTGTGATATATTTTATATAATGACCACGTGGTTCACTATACTTGACTCTTGATACAGCAGGGAGCTCCGCTCTGTTCAACGGTTTGACAAGAAGTGTCTCCCCACCCGAATGACAATATTTTATATCCACACGGCCGAATTCGAGTGAACAAGTCAGTGAGACCACGTGTTCTTACAATTTCATTACTTTTTATTCAAGTATCATGATAATAAATAATTATAAAATCAATTAAAATATAAATTAGTGTTCTATATACATTACAAGAATAATTTATTACCAAATTTGGTATAATAACAATTTCAATATTTTATTATATTTAAAGTAGTCTGATTTTTATTAATAAATGTAGGTACACATTTTAACACAAGATGTTTAAGAAAATTAATATAATTGAAAATAAATATCGAATACGCACGTAATACCTCTGGTATTGCAAGCGTTCATAGGCTACGGTAATCGTTTACCACCAAGTGGGCCGTAAGTTTGTTTACCACCTCAGTGGTATAAAAAAAAAAATAAAAAAATGACTTGACCGGAAATCAAACCCGGGACCTCATTCACGCAAAGCAATGTGCTCACCACGGACGCACTCACGGATATCGTCAAAATAACGCACAAAGAATATCGGTATATGATAATACAAGAAATAAATATAAATAAAAAATATTCGAAAAACATCGCCATCTTTTGGCGACAGCCGAAAAACAATAACATACTATTCGGAACTAAAAATGATTTTCGATCACTGACTTATAAGAACGAAGATGGAGAAAAAAATCCAAATGATAACATGCCACCCTGAGATCTTTGCTTTCCAATTTTAATTATAAGTCCGCAATTAATTCCCGCGAGGCCGACGTAATTTTCAGAACAAATATCCCTTAATGAAACTCATCTTCTCAGGGTTCTTAATTTATTTCTTTCGCCCAGTACCGGCGGTGGAAAAGACGTGCAATATGGAATTTAAAAAAGTATTTTTTTTTATACAACTTAGAATGGCAAACAAGCTGACGGCGCACCTGATGGAAAGCGCTAACCGTTGCCTACAGACATGAGCAGTACATAACACAGTAGACATAACAGAGTATACTGTTTCGCCCATGATACCCCCCATGTGTTGCCATTCCTGAGGACTCAGGTGTTATTCCTCTGTACCCTGTAAATCCACACCATATCCCATCCTTCAAACCGAAATACAGCCATGCAAACACAACTGCTTCACGGTTGGAACACGAATGGGACAGAGGTACCCAAGCAATCGACTTTTGTACAAATATATATATACCCTTTTTTACATCCAAAACTTGATAAATCATATATAAATATTTATAAATTTATTTTGTTATAACGAATGATTATAGTTAACGGTTTCAGTCTTCATTCTAAGTGCACCACTCGACAAGGAATTGTCTGAAATCGGTTTTTATTTTTCTTGTAAAGTTATTTTAACGCAATTACCATTTTGTTCAGCGGGCACGGCGAATCGATCTAGACTTGCAGACGTTTGTTTGAGTTTCGAACAAACAGGTGCTCTTTGTCTGAATACATTTTATTTTCATTTGTCGAACGCTGGCGGGGTTTTCAAATATTTGCAACTGTGAATGTATTCGATTCGGTTATTGGACGAATATGATTCTATATCTACCTACAATATTTTAGACAGGATATTTTAGATAGGTAATGAATTAATTTATTATGGTCATGTTTGACATTCAGTAAGACTATAAACAAATAATATTAAAGGCAAACAATATTAATCTATTCTCGATTTGACCACAGACTTTAACAATAAACAAAAGAGTATATTATGCGTGTGTGTGTGTTAAATATATGGTAGTCTGTGTAATGTTTTTTTTTTTATTGATTTAATGTATTTTTCTTTCCTCTATATAAATTATAAGTGTGTGAAATCTCATACTGCTCCGTCCGCGCAATTTTCACAAGGTATCGATATTGCCCATGCCTTATATTTATGTCAAAATATTAGTTTTAAGGCCACTCATGATTAAGAGTCCCGGATGCTTCTGAAACTTGTCGAATATTCTCGTCGAGAATGTGTAAGTCAATCCCGTTACAATTAAAATAAAATCTTAAATTTCATGGCAGCAAGTGAAAGCAAGAGCAATTTTATTCTGTCATCTATACTAATGTTTTAAAAAGGATTTTTTTGTTAATTGTTCGTTTATTTGTAATGAACAAACGCAATGTATTTTATTCGTATTTACTAGGGAGACTTTGTACAAAAGTCGTTTGCTTGGGTACCTGTGGCCCATTCGTGTTTCAACCGTAAAGCAGTTGTGTTTGCATGTACGGAGGAATAACACCCGAGTCCTCAGGAATGGCAACGCATGGGGGGCATCATGGGCGAAACAGTATACTCTGTTATGTCCATGGTACTGCTCATATCTATAGGCGACGGTTACCACTTTCCATCAGGTGGGCCGTCAGCTTGTTTGCCATTCTAAGTTGTATAAAAAAAAAGTCTTTGAAGTTAAACTTTTTCCCCAAAGAAATATAATTTTGAAATATGATATTACAAGAAATATTTCAGATTATTCTTATGAAGAAATGTCACAAATTTCAAAACAGCCCCTAATAAGTATTCCACGTTTTAAATGTAACATGATTTCGTTAAAAAAAAAAACACATTTCCACTTAATATATTTTCGGCACGAACACTGAAGGAATCGTTTCAATTCCACCGTTGTCACTTTGTTCCCCTTATTTGGTTGTCACTTTTTTGTATTCAGTACAATGTTGACCTTGTTTTTGGCACGTTCGGTCGAAACACCGTCCGCTAATATGTGTATGCGTGGGGGAAAGGGATTGTTAGTAATGGCGACTGAGAATCCCATTGCTAACAATATAACCAACCAGGTCGACCTCCTCGCGGTTCCCTCTGAAAAATTATCATGGTTAATTCCTGATTAATTCATCATGATGGTCTAACTGGCCTGTTTTCAATCTCATCTATCACCCTTCACTGGTGCTCCGCCAGCGTATCTCGTTAGCGCAGGCGGAGTTACCATACCATTTTCACCCATAAAAAAAATGTGTATGCGGGTTAGAAGGAATTGTTAGTAATGCAATCCGCATTCCTATTGCTAGCAATATATTAGGTCGACCTCCACGTGGTCCCCCCTAGAAATAATCGTGATGAATTCCAAGTTTATAACATCACGATTAGGCTAACTGATCTTGCATTTTCATCCTCACTTATCATCCCTCACTGGTGCCCCGCCAGTGTATACCATTAAAGTCGATTGCTTGGGTACCTCTGTCCCATTCGTATTTCAACCGTGAAGCAGTTGTGTTTGCATGGTTGTGTTTTGGTTTGAAGGGTGGGATATGGCGTGAATTTACAGGGTACGGAGGAATAACATCTGAGTCCTCAGGAATGGCAAT